CGAAAAATAGACGAAAAACTGGTTTTACGTGGAAACTAACGCCTTTTATTACTTTCTCTCTTTTTTTTTCGTTCTGAATATATATGTTTTTCTTTCCATTTTCTCTTTTCCTATTTTATCGTGTGAACGAACAGAAAAAGAAAAGAATATCTATTTAAGCTTGTGTCAAGCACTGCTGTTACTTCAGTTCAGTACTTTTGTTCAGTATAGAGCAGATATAAAATATCAATTATATTAAATGCGAGAGAAAAAAGCAAGACTGATACTAAGAAACGCTACAATTACTTGTATAGAAATCATTTGTATGCTCTCGCGAGAGTTCTCTCTCTGCTAGCAACACTACTCAACACAATCGAAATTTTGAATAAGTCTGTTCGGTGAAGAAATGTTCTTCGTTGAAGTCATTCACTCTCTTTTCTGTGAGTTTTTCTCTCTCTGCTAGCAGCGCTACTCAATACATAAAAAAGAAACAGTGGTATTTTTCTACTTGATTCATGTTCTCCATTGTATATAAATCGAGATAATTTTCTCACTTGGCAGACTACTAAAAGTTTCTTCTAGTTTCTTCGCGCTGCTTGTACATAATACTCGGTTGTTTTGGCGTAATTAAATGTTCGTTCATTGAATTCTCTCGCTCAAAGCAGAAATTCAATGATGATAGGTTTTGTTTTTTGGATGGAAATACATTTCGTCTGAAACAACAATCGAATTTGTAAATATTGGTTATGCTCTATTCGAATTCGTGTTTCTGACATCGAATAAAAAAGAAACAATATTCGAAGAATACTTTTCTATGTCATAAGTAGTAACATAAAAAAAACTGAATTTTTTTCCCTTCTCCTGTTGACTTTGTAGCCGTCTATGATCATTTAGTGTTGTCATCGTTGCATTGGAAGTAACGACGGGTGAAACAGACGTTGGTAGTCAATCAGAGACAGCGAAAAAAAACCGTCTGTTACATTATACGCTGATCGGAGTCGAAAACAACAGAACCTGAATTTCTCGGAATTCGATCGTTCCTGGATGGGTTCGGTGTCTAATGTAGAGCAACGTATGTGAATAGCTTACTTGAGCATTTAGGTGCTAAGTACGACCGAAAGCTGGGAATGACCGAATTCGGGAACGACAGGACCCCAAAGAGATAAGTGTTGGCACCCAGCACCAAAAAACACTTGCGAGTGCTGAGGTGTCGAAGAGGTACCAAGTGGGTGAAGGACGGAAGCGGAAAACATTTCTTCACCGGAGAAATGTATTCAAGATTTCGATTCTATTGAGTAGTGATGTTAGCAGAGACAGAACGTGAGTAACGCACTGCGACGACGACCATTTCATGAGCGGAGTGATTGATTCAAGGTTTCAGTAGCAGTACCCATTATCGGCAGCAATGATCTAGAGGTGAGGAGGGAGAACTAAATTTGTAGATGTATCGTTGATTGATATAATCCTGGTGTATCATGTGAAGGATAGAGCAATCAGTGACTTTTCTGTTAACTGAGTTCTCTCTCTCCTGATGTAAATAACTTCTCATGATCAGAGGTGTTCCTGTGGAAAGCTGGAATGAATCTCGTCGATGAGGAAATTTTTTTCGTCGGAGTGGTGTACTCTCCTTTCTCCAGACGCTATTGTTCTGTGGTATGTTTTTGTCTCAGTTGAGTCACCCCGTACAAAAACCTAGTCCTTTACGAATGAAAATAGTTGAAAAAGGACTCTGAAGATTCCTAGGTAGTTTCGCCCGTTTTATTATTGTATCTGATAAAGTAGAATGATGGGTCATATGTCGTATGATAATCAACTCAAAAAAGTTTCCTGGATGCTTGGAAAATCTTTGTAGGGTTTCGTAGTATTATACGAAACCTTTACAACGTTTTTCTGGATTTTTACCGAACTCCTACTAAGGTTTCGTATAAAACTACGAAATCCTCAGTTTTTTTTGAGGGTTTCGTATAATACCGTGAAATCCTACAAAGACTTTTCAAGCATCCAGGAAACTTTTTGGAGGGATTTCGTAGTATTGTACGAAACTTAAAAAGGGTTTCGAATTAGTTTCAAATCTCGAAACCCTTTATAGGTTCCGTAGGATGTACGATGCCCTTTTTGAGTTTCGTATCGCGAAATTTTTTTTTTCAATGTGATGCCGATAGTCAATCATCTACCGCGTGTACATACCACTGAATTCGACTCGTTACAGATACGGCTTTTATTTGCACATGGATCTGTTTTCATGGCCTGAATTGATGGAAGATCTCCTGAATGAACGCAAACGTAAGTGATTAGAATAATATTTCTTCGCGGTGACTAGTTATCCTAAACTCATTTCGATAGATTTACTTCTTTCTGTTTTAGAAGAAAAGGAAGAAGATGAAGAAGAGAAAACGGAAGAAGAAGAAGAAGGAGATCGAACACATGATCTCGAGCGCCGAGTCAAACGTAAGTGATCAGAATATTATTTCTTCACGATGATCAGTTAACCGAAACTCATTTCGATGGATTTACTTCTTTCTCTTTTAGGATTAAAAAAAAAAAGAAATAAACGATTGAGAGAAGAGATCGAAAGATTTCGTCAAGAAAATCAGGCGTTATTGGCCCGTTTTGATAGCCTACTGGGACAGCTACAGAAGAAAAAAATCGAAACTTTCGAGCAGCTTGCTGAGCAAGACAAAGAGGCGAAGGATACTCTCATCCGACTGGCCCAAGAAACAAATCCTGCCAAGTTGGATGGTTACAATATAACTAGGAGAATGAAACTACCCATTGGGAGGGTTACGTTAGATCTAACATAAAAAGAAATGAAGGTAATTTTTCTTGCAGGAATCACTGTGTGGAATCAATCGTGAAAAATATCATTAAAATGAATCATCTGTACGGTAATGAATATATCGACATTTCAGTTGTACTCGACACACATTTTCCCTGTTCGCCTGCAGAATTCGAGAGAACTCACAGGGTGTATGATAATATATCTAGAGAAGAAGATCAAATAACATTAGAAAATCTAGCTTACGAACAATTGCGTGAGAAGGGTGTCTATTCAAATTATTTTCACGAATTGATAATGAAAGATGAGTATTTATTTCAACAATATTACCACGATTAGCTATTACTGTTTCTTGAGGAACACAAAGTTCAATTATCCGTTGAATTTGTCCTTGATCTTTTAAACAATAATTCTGTAAAATCAACAATCGAACGAATTAAATACTATTTAGTGAATCAAAGCGAACTGCTGGAATTATTACGAATATTCGAGCAAGGTGTTTATGCACTTTCTCGTGCCCGACAGGGAACACTATTAACAATAATTAACAGTGGAATAAAAAGAGTGGAGGATGCCTCTTGCCTTACACTCAAAATGGATATAAATTGTCCATCTTGTTGACAAAAAATGAAACTCGATGTTCTCTAATCATGACTTGACTTGTTTTATTCAAGGTGGATCTTATTGTTGCAGGACCCTTACCATCTTCACAGGGTGTCCAGAGAACGTTTTACCTTGATATAAGATAGTGTACTATGAGAGAAGTTCATAATATTTCTCAGGTACAACGATTGCGAACGCCGACCGAAGGAAGGCATGAGCATTGTCTTCAATTTAGAAATAATACTAGACCTCTTAGGATCTTTGGATGGTCTCGTGAAAACCTTTTAGCATTACATTATATTAGGAAGCTTACACATCAAATTAGAGAAAAATTCATAGCATATGTTAGATAGTTCTCCCGCCGTGTTAGGGCGTAGACACAAGTTAATAGCGGGCAGACAAACGCACACGTCAAGACATAATACGAGTGATTAGAAATAAGAATTTAAGAATTGACAATGTGTCTCATTTATCTCTTGCCTTCTCTCTAAAAAAAAGGCTCCATACTAAACCATTAAGGTCTGGTGTATTGCTTCGAAACTTTTAATGGTTTTGCGGCGAAATTTCGAAATTCAGAGGGTTTGTTAGATGGTACGAAATCTCAAAACAAAATTTTTTTCTACAAGGTTTTGTACAGAGTACACGAAACCGGCGAAGTGGTTTAGTAGAAATTTCACAAAACCTTACGAGTTTCGTATCGTATTAAACACTTCTTCGATGAAAGAAGAATATGTTGAAAAACCAATATAACAAACAATAAGTTAGCCTATAACTGTTTATCTGTTAGTCCGATTGCAATATGTTAGTCCCTCGACTCTGAGATTCCAAATCCGTCTGTGAGGAACCTATATTTCCCCTAATTATAAGTCCTTGAGTTGATTGTATGCGTGCGTTAAGATCTGTAGTATTACTCTTTTATTCGACTACTCTTTATCACAAACTACAAAAAACTAACTCTAACAGAAGAAAAACATTCAATATATATTTGCTACTGCATGTACAAAAGATAAGAACAGCGAAAGAAGAAAGCCAAGAAAGAGCGAAAACAGACAAGGGAGAGAGTCAAATAGAATGATTATGATGAAT